GGCTTTTTTGGTTATTTTAGCCTGGGCTTAAAAGTTTGGTTTGGGAAGGGCTTTTTGGCTTTTTGACTTTTTTGAGTTTTTTTGTGAGAGAAGAGACAAGGTACCCACAGGATTGACAAGAACTAGTAAGGTAAAATTAAATAAATAAAAAAATTAGTCTTTTAGAGAAATTATATAGAAATCTATATTATTAATATAAAAATGACATTTTTGCAATTTAAAGTCATCTTGAAAAGTGTTTTGTATTAAGCTAAAAGTCCTAGCTAGATTATTATTATTTTTTATTCTACAATATTACTCTTTAAACAACAGTTCGCATGTATGTTTGAAATAAAAGTAATTTTGAAGAGGAATACGAATATGATTTTGACTCCCCATGATTCAAACATTTGGAATGGATTAAAATAAAATTAAAAAAATAATTTTTTAATTACCTATTTCATAAGGTGTAAGTGTAAGAGGAATTCGATTCCCCTACCACCTTGTGAAAATCTCACGGATTTTTTTAATTCCTAAACACTTCAAAAAAAAATTTCAAATCAATTCAACTTTTTGAAATCGAAAACATACCAAATAAAATTTGGAGGACTTACGTATAAGTTTTAATATGTGAACTTATTGTTCAATAGATCCTGTAAGAATTAATGGCGTTTTTCATCAAATACTAGTAAAAACATTACTAATTGTTAATTTTTAGCGATTGTTTAAAAAAAATTCACAAAAAATGTCATTAATTATAAGTTTTAGCGATAGTTTTAAAAAATCGTCAAAAAAAAGTTATTAATTTTCAACTTTTAGTGACAATTTAAAAAATTCATCATAAAAAAGTCACTAATCGTAAATTTTAGCGATAATATAAAACCGTGATAAAAAAAAATCACCAATTATCAATATTTAACGACATATGCAAAAAAGTGTCACAACAAATTTTTTGCGACGATTTTACTATAACTTATTTTTAATAAGATTTGATGAAAAATAAGTCCAACTATTAAGAACTATTGATAATTTATCAATTTCTAATTTTTAAAAATCAAAAAATAAAAGTGTTACCAAACCACACTAAGTGCAGCATCTTCCTTTTGTACTCACTAGATTAGTAAACATATGCTCAATTTGATTTATTAGAATGAAATAAAAGTTCATTTCTTAAATTCTTATTTCGAATGAATGAAATAAAAGTTCATTTCTTAAATTCTTATTTCGAATGTTCATTCACTTACAAAGTTAAAATATTAAATAATAATTTTATTTATAATTTATTATTTTTTAGTCTACCAAATATGAAAATAAAAATTTTGATAAAATAATTATTTCATTTCAATGAATCAAACACTGTAAAATACTCTTATATTCTTTAGACTATCTAGAGAAATATTTGCTTCCAAAATTTTATATTATCCAATAATTAGCATACATTAAAATACAAAAATAAACAATTTTAAAGACACAGTATCTTCTAGTTGATAAGTGTTTTATATAATGAGTATGTCACATGGATGGACGAGATGACATAATCTTATACCCTTTCACTCATGAATTGACATATAATTAAAGTGGAATCCAAAAAATTGTTTATTACTTTACTCAAAGTGCTAAATGTTCGACCACTTGAAATTTCAATCGTACTTTTATTAAATATCTATTAATAAGTGAAAAAATGAATTCATTTCATATATGTCACATGAGATGAGTTTGGATTTACTAAAGTTGAAAATCCCGACTTCATATGTGAAGTTGACGCATTATTAGACCAATTTATATTCATCTAAGTGATTTCAACTGTTCAACTTATATGACAAGCTAAAAACAAAATACATGCAAAAAAATTGAGCTGATCAAGTATAATGATCAAATCACATATATATTGCAATGGACAATTTGCTCTTAAAAACATATGTGTCATATAAATAAAAATGATCGGATGGTATAGCGATTGATGTTGAATCAACGTGATCTTTTGCATGGATAATTTTTTGAGTTGATTGTATTAGATGAACAATTTAGATAACCAAAGTGAGTCTAAGATAATCTTAGAGCATCAATATCAAATTAGTTAAAATTTTGTTATATTTTAGGGTAAATTAAAAATACACCCTCTGAGATTTACTTAAAATACAAATTACCGCCCGTGGTTTGAAAAATTACAAATACTTCCCTGTCAGAAATTTTTATTTAGCAGAATTAATTGAAAAAGTGAAATTTCTAACTGTTCACCTATACAATAATAAAATTAACAATGTTAGAGGGTCACAATTTTTGTGGCCACAATGGCTCAAAATTGCTAAAACGACGTCGTTTTGGGTGCAAAACATGCCAAAACGACGTCATTTTGACAGTTTTGAGCCATTGTAGCCACAAAAATTGTGGCCCTCAAACATTTTCCAATAAAATTATCTGAATTATTAATTGAAATAAAATTTTAACATTATTAAATACTATTAAGTAACTTGATGATTTATTAATAAAAGGATCTATTAGTTATGAAATTAGAAACCTTAGGGGGCATAATGTAATTTCTAAAATCATAAGAAGTAATTTATAATTTAAGTAAAGCTCAGGATGTGTGTTTGTAATTTGTCCTATATTTTAACTTAAAAATTACTTTTCCTATTTGGAGTTTTCTTAAGTGTGCAAGTGCACACCATGTGCCACTTACACAAAAAGTGTAAGTATAAGGTGTAAGTATAAGTATAAGGTGTAAGTGTAAGGTGTAAGGTGTAAGTAGGTTGCACATGGTGTGCAACCTCAAAAAAGGTGTAAGTGTAAGATTTAATTTTTTACAAAAGGTGTAAGTGTAAGGTATAAGGTGTAAGGTGTAAGGTGTAAGTTGCACACCATAACCAAACCCTTCCTATTTTGGTTTTATATCTTTTAAATTACATTCTCTAACAAACTCTCTACTATTATTTATCTATACTATTCAAATATTATTTTATTCATTTTAATTTGGTATTACTTTTTATAAACTCAACACAATTAATTTTAATATATATATATATATATATATGTTTTTAATGTTTTGTTAGAGTAAACTATTGACTATGGTGTCGTTTGGAAAGTGGATTGACTTTTTAATTTTTTGACTTTTTTAGCTATGTTAGCCTAGGCTAAAAAACTTGATTTGGGAAGAACATTTTGGTTTTTTGATTTTGTACTTGATTTATAAAGAGGGACTAATATTTTGGGACAATGAAAAATGGAATAAGGGACTAATATTTTGGGACGGAGGGAGTATATGTTTTTAATGTTTTGTTAGAGTAAACTATTGACTATGGTGTCGTTTGGAAAGTGGATTGACTTTTTAATTTTTTGACTTTTTTAGCTATGTTAGCCTAGGCTAAAAAACTTGATTTGGGAAGAACATTTTGGTTTTTTGATTTTTTTTGTGAGAGAAGAGTGTAATGATTATGAGTTGGATGTGATATTTTATTTTTTATGGTTAAAACAGCCTATTTTATCTTTTGTGGCTAAAATAGCCAAAAAAGCTCCAAATTCATCTTCCCAAACGGAGCTATAAGCTATTTTAATTTTTGAGTCAAAATTATCAAAACCAAGGCATTGTTTGAAAAGTTGGCTATTTTAGTAAGTTATTTTAATTTTTAACTATTTTAGTTGATTCAAATTTTTTGTGTTTGGAAAGATAGTTAAATTTTATTATAGTTGAATGTGATATTTGTAAAATAAATAAATAAAATGATTATGAATTTAATGTGACATTTTATTTTGTTAATTATTTTAATTTATTTTATCTTTTTATAAATTTTATAAATTGAATATAATATTTTATTATATTAAGCTATTTTAATCCAACCCTTCTCCTTCCAAATAAGATCTTATTAGACATGATTGATATAAATGTATAGTATTAGGGCCAAGTTTGGCATCTTTCAAAAAATATAAAAAGTCAAAAAGTCACTATCCTATTTAAGTCACATCATCTTATTTAAGTCACATCACTTCTCTAATACATCACTTCAAACCCAATCCAAAACTAACCCACATTTCATAAAAAGTCAAAAAGTACACTTATTTAGTCTTCCCAAACTTGGCCTAGATATTCTTTAGTATATTTTTTCATAAAAAAATTAAAAATATATTTATTTAGGTCAAGTTTGGCATCCTCAAAAAAATTCAAAAAGTTAAAAAGTCACTATCCTATTTAAATCACATCATCTTATTTAAGTCACATTACCTCTCTATCACATCATTTCAAACCCAACCCATACCAAACTCATATTTCATAAAAAATCAAAAAGTACACTTATTCAGGATACCCAAACAACCCCTTAGATGATTCTAAACAACTCATGAACTCATGACATGAGTAATTGATTGCAAAGGAAAATTATAATATACTCAAAACTCATGACACAACATGCAAACATCCAAGAATCGTTGATTCGAATTAGCCAGTGAACACAACAGCAACAGGGAGACCCACAGGAAATCAAGCATCTCCCCAAAGCCGTTGGTCATTGTCCCAATACCACTCACTCTCCCCACTCCCTTTCTCGCTCCAAACATGTGGACAGAAAGTAGGACCCTCAAAATTTTCTCAGGTACCAAACAGCCCCTACTGCCTAGGTAAGTAGTATATGGAAATGAATAGACATATATAACAGATAAAGTACAGTCTCAAACCTATACATATACACATCTATATCTATCCGCAGACAGCAAAGAAAACACGGATTTAGACCATCGTGTAAGCCATCGTGAAACACTTGAAATAACCACCAGTCACTACACGCCGTCGATACACACAATATATTATATACATATATGTATATTGTGTGAAATGTATATATGTGCATATATATTAATTTATATATATACACAATATATGTGTATATATATATCTGAAACTCCTCTTTTGGGGCCCTCTTTGTGTCTCTATCTTCCTTTTCGGTTTCCTTCTTTTGTCTCTCTTCATCTCACTTCTCTCCTTTCCGTTACACATACTACACATAGATATAGATATATATATATAGTTGTTGATGTCTTCATCTTCGTCTTCGTCGTCACAACACAGTGACGGAGGAGATGGTGGAAATGGTAGAAGAGGCGGCGGCGATTTCGAAGGTCCCTCGTCTTCTCGCCGTCGCTCCGTCAACGGCGTTTGGCCTGAGCCTTTCGTCGAAGCTCTCGCTTCTCAGGTCGCCATTGACGCTTCTCTCTCCTCCGGCCGCCTCGCCTCCGCCCCCGCCCTCGTCAACCTCTTCCAGGTCTCTCTCTCTCTCTCTCTCTCTCCCCTCCTATACATACATATATATTTGTGTTTGTATCGATGATAGCTTGTGTTTTGGATGATTCTGGAGAGAGAATTGAATGAATTTGTTTGTGTTTTATAGATGATTCTAGAGAGAGAATTACATGAATTAGAATGTTTTGTTGTTTAGATATTGAGTTTTAGTGGTAATTGTTGCTGATTAGTATCGTGATTTGTTGAGATTAGCGATGGAGACTGTACCATTCGCTTGATGAAGCGACTGATGTGATTTTCCAGAGATAAACTAAATCTTTGACCAAATCCACTATTAGGCCTGAAACGTACTCTAAAACCTAGAAACTTATTGTTCGTTTTGGAGAATTCAATTTTTTAAATCACTGTGTATTTTTTCCAGTGATACTTTTCAAAATTATATTTTGATAGTATATTTTTTAAAAAATATTAATTATTATAATTATATATTTTTTGTATTATTAATAAATTTAAAAGAATAATAAAATAATAAATTTATATTATTTTATTCTTTGATTTTAGAGATTAATATTTTAAAACAGGAGTAAATATTTTTTTTACCAATTCAGTAAAAGAGAAATGGAATTGATATCATAACAATATTATAATGGTGTTTTGAGAAGTTGGTAAAAAGTTAATTTTTTGACTTTTGGCAAAAAAATGGATTGTTTTCGATAAAAAAATTGACTTTTTTGGTTAAAAAAATTAAAAAATCAAAAAATTAACTTTTTAACATTGTTCCCAAAAAAACCCCTAAGTTAGAATGGGAAGAGAATTCTTATACTGCAAAAATTGGCATTTCAAATCAAAATAATATATATTCATACAATTTTTAATGTACACGAGAAATTATTTTAAAATATATTTGTACAAAGTGAGATGGGATTAATAGTTTTGATCAAGAATATATGTATGTATAGATATTAGTAAATCACCACTATATATGTATATACATATTCTTTTAATCAAGAATATGTGTATAAATATATTAGTAAATCACCACTCTACTTTTTTTTCTTCTATATTATTTAGATAGGATCACCACTACACTTAAAAGTTAAGGTGTGGTTTGGAAATTTGTTATTTTAGTCGGTTATTTTTTTATAAAAAAAAAAAATCAAAGTAAAAAGAGTGATGTGGTGTGATGTGATATTTTATTTTATTAATTATTTTAGTTTGAGATAAAATATTTTAACCCATCCAAAATAAGCTTAGCAATGTATATTTTAGTGAGAAAAAATATAAATGGGAACAAATTTTTTTGGGTGAATAAATGGGAACAATTGTGAACGGAGAAATTCACTCAAAAACCTCCGCCTACCTCAGCTCTGACTCCCGCCTAAGTTTTGATATCATGTTAAATTACTAAAAAACTTAAAATCTTAAATTGTTATGAAATTGATCCAATAATAAGTATGGAACATATGTATAATTGCATATAAATGTATAGATAGATGCATAGGGTAATGCCTAGGAGGAGTATCCAAGGAGGAATTGCCGCTAAAAGGGCTTCATTTAATTTGTGGAGTCTTTTCGGTGACTATAAATCTGAAACCATAAATTTTAAAAAAAATTTAGAAAGAGCCTTTTATATCTAGTTTTCTTTCATTGGCATTATTATCATACCAGCCCTTTTTCTTTTTGGAAATCTCTATTTTTGGACCCCCTTTATATATGTCATTTTAACATAATGAAAAGAGTTGTTTTCGTTTTGAATTCCTTTCCCTTTTCTTTGCATTATTATCCTTTTTAAAGATCTAGAAAATGCCTACTTTTTGACTCAACTTTCTTAGCAAACTTAATGTCTATCCTCCTCTCTATTAATGGGGACACTTTTATTAATAACAATTAAAAAAATATAGATGTAGATAGAGACCTTTGAGAGACCTCTTCTAGTCTATAACTTAATTTTTTTTTTGGGTTTATTAAATTTGGGTTAAATGGTGGGATTCATAAAGTAAAATTAAAGTACACAGTCCTGGGGAGTGAAACTCTCTGGCTTCTAGTCTTTAAATTGGTAGTCTTTTGAACAGAAACTAAATTAGGAGAGAGAAAACAAAATCTCAGATGCATGTCCCTTAGCCTGCTCCAACATGGCATTGTGTCATAGCATTTCTATATTTAGTTAGCTTTACATGAAACAAAATTTACAGTTTTGGATGTATTAGGTTATATTGCAAAGGTGCAACGTTTCAATGTTTGCTGACATGAACTGTTCTTGACTGAATTTTGAAGTGTTTGACCCTTTCTTGTTTGTTAGACTTTTGTCATGCTGTTGGTTTGTATTTCTAATATTCCAATCCAGCAAAAATAATTCATTTCAAGGTACGTTGCACCATGCTCTGCAATATGTAGGTTTTTTTAATAATGCCAAAGATAGGAAGGTCTCCAGTATCTAAAACTTTCAGCAATGTTAAACACCCAAAACATCTACTCATAAAAATATTCAGAATAAGTAATGTGTGGTAGAGATGCATTTTAAATGTAGGCCCTATTATTCAAAAATTGAATTTGAACTACATCACATTTCAGAATAAATTTCTTAGACAATTTTTCTAGGTTACTATCTTTTCCTAGAACTTTTTCTTTGCATTTTGCTTGTCATAGGGACTTCTTGTAGATAAATTTTGTGAATGGAGGTTTTTGTATAAAATACTTAAAAAATGTAACCACTGGCGTGTGAGGCCGGAGAATTAATTACACAAATGTAAAATAATTTTGACCACGAATATCAAATGGTAGAGTTATTAAAAAAATTGCTTCACTCAAATTATAGTATTTGATAGCTGATTCTGTGATTGGTTGTCTCTAGATTTGTTTTCAGAATCAATAGGGGTCTCAAACTAAAATCTTGAGATGATAAGAGAGAGAAAGGCCTGTGCACGAAGTATTATAACTACTAGGTTGTTTGGGAAGTTTGGTTTTTGATTTTTTTTTATTAAAAGATAAATTAGTTACAAAATTAAAAAAAAAATCAATCGAAACAAAATATCGCATCAAATCTTATAATCATTTCACTTTTTATTTTACAAATATCACATATAACCACAAAAAAACTCAACTATCTCTCAAACACATTACAATTAAAAAAATATATAAAAAAATTCACTTCCCAAACACACACTATTAAATTGATGAATAGGCTTGCATAGTATAATTTTTTTATGGGTTACATAAAATACCAAATTAGCAATTTGATAAAAATTTAGAAAGATTTTCTTTTTTATAGGTAGAAGAGAAATAAGATATTAGCGGTCAAACTCGCATCACATCGAGTAAGATAATTATTTATATATTAGGCCAATCTTTAATCATGGATTTAAACAAATTATCTCACTCTGATAACACTTCACTTGAATAATTGCCCTAGACTTGTTTTTAGAATATAGCTTTCAAACTGAAAATTTTGATATTGAAGAGAAAGGGCTATGTGGACACAAACCAATGGGATTAGTGACTTGAGAGAGAATTCATATTCTTTGATTACTTTAGGGTCCTGTTATGGTGTGCAACCCCTTAAGGTTGCACACCATATGTAACCAACACAAAAGGTGTAAGTGAAAGGTGTAAATATCAAACAGGACAGCAAATACAAAAGACGTAAGTGTAAGGTGTAAGTTGTACACTTAAGAAAAGTCCATTACTTTATCATTACTCTACATAGATACATAGGCATACATAAAATAACATTTTTTGATGGGTTACATAAAATAACAAATTAGCAATTTGATAAATTAAAAAAAGAAAAAATCATCAATAAGAGGAAAATAAGAAGAAAAAAAAAGTACCTATTAATATTATGAAGATGGTAAACATGTGATAGTAGGACAACCCTTAATCTTTAGGAGCTTTATAATAGTGAAAGGAATGTTTTGTTGGTACTCTTCACTGGGATAAATAAATCGTTGGCAATGGAACATGGGGTCAAAATCCAGCATGTTTCCATTGCAATAAAATAGAGAGAGAGAGAGAGAGAGAGAGAGAGAGAGAGAGAGAGGGAGGGGATATGATAATGAATATGGGGTGCCCAATGTCCTGGTGTTTAAACCGATGTCTACTTGTCTCTTCAGAATATAAAGTCTTCTTATTGCAGAGCTCTCAGAGCTCCTGCTGCTGAGAGACCTCTCAGCTCTGTTGTTGAGTTGCTTTTCATGCTCTGCCCTAACTACTAATAAAAGAATCCCCAAACAAATTTTTTTTTAAAAAAATTCTTAAATAATTTGGGTGGAGTGTGGTAATATATATGCAGTATATAGTGCTCTTTTAACTAGTTTTCAGTTTTTAATCTATTTTATGATACATTATTTTTTACATAATTTATCTTTATAAATAAATAAATAAATAAATAAAAGAGTAAACTTTTAATTCATTTCCCAAAACGTATTCTATAGAAACATGCAGGCTTTCAAATAGAGACTAGTAGAGTCAAAGATGGAGGGAAAAGGGGTTGTTGTGAAAAAGTGGAATAGAGAGATTCGTTGCTTCTAACGATACAGGCTTTTGCCCACCCGGCACCCACCCTTTATTGGAAATGAAAGAGAGAGAAAATGAAGCAGACATGTAACTCGATGTTTGTTTAGCAAAATTGTTTATAGGATTTTGAAGGCGACTTCCCTTCTTCATAGATTTCTTTTAAGTTTGTGATTTCAATTTAAGAGTCTCATGATTTAAACTGTTTATTTTTAAAATTCATTAATTAAAATATTTATAAAAAAATTAAAATGATAAAATATTGAAAGTTATATGTTTTATTCACATTTATATTATAATAAAAAATAGATGGATATTATATATTTTATGGGATAAATGGATATTTTTAAAATTATATTTGCCATTTATTTTTTAAAACAATTGTGATGAAAATATATAATTACTCATATCTAATTATCTTAATTTGTATATAAATATTTTAGTTAATGAGTGCTAAAAAGTTAAATTTTAAAAAATTAAAAAATGAATAATTCAAATCATTAGATTTGATTC